TTATTTTGGAACAGAGCCAAGACCTTTCAACATTCCGCCCTGAGCCTAAAGATGAAGAAAACAGTTTTATTTTTTCTAACGAATCATTTAACTTTAAAACATTTCCTTTTGATTTTATATTTTCAGTTGCATGAGAAAATCACTTAATGTTCCCTTAGCTTCATTTCACAAATTTCATCACATTGAATCATTTAAGGATTTAATGAAATAAGCTTGTACACAATTATTGTATCAGGCTTGTGTATAAAATTCTAAAATTATATAGTAAAGTTCTTTAAGTGATAATTTTATCACTTTTATTTCCTTTACTGAATCTTGTATATTTTTAAATGAAGTTGAGAATTAGTCAGTATAAATAATATATTTATCTCCATATGTAAAGAGGATGTTTGTATATTTGAATATTTAAACATGAGATTATGAACAGAACAAACTGTTTTTGAACGGCATTTTCAATGCCATTTCCCAATATCATCTTGAATTCTAATACTTTACAGTAAAATTAGGTGATCATGATTTTTATAACTTAAAAAAGAAATCAAAACTACTTACAACCCCTAATATATATATATATATATATATATATATATATATATATATATATTAAGAAATGGACAAGGTCCGACAATTTATTTATTAAAGACATTTTATTATGTTTAACGTTGTTATTTTATAGATACAAGTATTTAAGCAAATGCTCTGTTTATGATAAACAGTATTAAATAACATTTACCGGCCTGAATGTCCGAGAAATTTTCATAGAAAATATTCGTTCTTTGACAGGATTCGAACCTGCATCCTATACGGAACCGTCATATACGCTGACGTGCCTTACCGCTAGGCTACAAAGAAGCGTTCGGTAGAATTTACTGCTTATAAACTCCAATTTTCCATGAATCTCGTACATTCATAACTGCTCTGGCGTATCGAATGTAAACAAATGACGTCATATATTAAGAAATGGACAAGGTCCGACAATTTATTTATTAAAGACATTTTATTATGTTTAATAATATCTATAAAATAACAACGTTAAACATAATAAAATGTCTTTAATAAATAAATGCAAATGACTAACCAAGACTATGCATGCAGGGTTCCAAATTAATATAAATTATATTCAATTGTGTTCATACAAGTGATGACATAGTGTTTAATAATATCTATAAAATAACAACGTTAAACATATATATGCCAAAGTAAACAAACAGTAAAATATTTAAGATCGTACGCATTAAAAATGCTTAATACCAAGTTGGAGGATCATACTTACAAAGCTGTTTAATGTTTAAAAATATGAATGCTGACTGACGGAAGTAGAGGGGGTGTAAAAAAAATAAAATAAAAGAAATCTATATTTGTGGGTTTTGTTTTATTTTTTCGTTAAATATACCGTCAGTAGAAATATTTTGTGACAGCCTACATTACACTCCTAACGGGATTTGTTTAATTATAGACACCGTATTGATATATCTTAGAACCGCATTCGGTTTCATGAATAGTGAGATGGTTCCGTTTGACAGGTTTAAAAATGTGTATCTGCAACACAACTTTTATCTGCTTAAAAAAAAAAACCCAAGCATAAACCCCACAAATATGGTTTTTAATGAACTCAAAATCAATTATTCTCTAAAGAACATCCCGACTCCTAACAAGCATTATGCCGTACAGAACGAGTTGTATATTGTGCCGAAATGGAAGGTGAAAATAGTAGCAGAAAAAGATACATCGAATTCACTAAGGGCCAGTTCAAGAGGAGGTGATATAATCACACCTAATCTTTTAGAATCCTGGAGCGTGGGTACAACACGAAGCTAGCAAGCTACTATTGGAGGCTTAGGGAGACGCATAACAAAAGCCCAAATATTAAATGGAGTATATTAAGAAATCTAAAGATTAACACAATAATCGGGAATACGTGTAGGTTATGCCAAGATGAGAAACTAGTTATAACAACTTATAAGGACAGCACTGAATTACTGGACGGGAGGTCAGAGTTCATGACCAAGTGCGGGACATGTTAAGAAGTTCAGCTTGGGGTTATTTGAACCCGGATAAAGTTAGCATTTTTTTTATTTTTACACCTCTCCACCCCACACTACTTCCATGTCGTTGATTTGCTGAACAAACCACTTGAGGCGACTGTAGTGGTCGAAACTGCGGTAGTGTTCTGGCCAGCATTCATTTTTTTTTTAAACACACATACACATATATATATATATATACTTTTTAAAAACAAAGTGAGCAAATGACAGCAGTTATATAATTGTTTTGTTCAGATTTTCATTCAAAATTTGCCTTTCGTTTTATCAAACATTCAACATTCAAACAGCTGAGTTGTCAATTCTTTCAAACAATTATTTATTACACTTTGTAAACACTTGATTATAAGTACCTACAATGTTCATCTCCAACACCCTCAAAACCTTCACAAAAATCTCTGGTTTATGTACAGTATTCTGCTACATAGTAAATATATTCCTACACTATACAATAAAAATTACTACTCCTTTTCTTAACCTAGTTAATCACTGTATCAAAAAACCTTTTGTAAATGTCATAAGAAAATCAATTTTACATAAAATAACTGGTTGTTCTAACTTCTGTTTAACTTACAAATAGTTGACCTTATATTTAGCTATAAAATTAGTTCGTTATTACCAGTTTGATTCCAACCAAAGAAATACAAATGACTAACCAAGACTATGCATGCAGGGTTCCAAATTAATATAAATTATATTCAATTGTGTTCATACAAGTGATGACATAAGTTAGTTTATACCCTTTTTATTCTAATGTGGTATTAAGGGTCCTTGCTGGCTTTTATACAAATTTCCTGTATATACTAATTTATGCATCTCCCTCCAATCATGGAAGATTTGTTTCTATCCCTTTATCTAAATCTTTTAACATATTACGATTGCTTTCAAAGCAACTTTGACAGATTGTCACTAGTCTAAAAAAAAAAAAAAAAAAGACAAAAAAAGAAGATATTTCTGTACTGTAAATACTTTTATTTTCCCTCACAAATTTGTCATTCAAAATTTAAAAAAAAAGAAAATAAAGCACTATCTATAGGAGGGACAGTGCATTTACAGTAACTTCTCTGAACTTTGGAAAATAGTTTTAACAGTAACAACCTTTAAATATTATGATTATAAACCCTGCCCAAGAAAGATGATATCAAATTATTAGAAAAATCAATAAGCAGAATTCTCAGTTGAGTAAAACATTTGCTTATTTAAAACATCATGGAAGAACTGAATTCGCTATTGTATTAAAAAATTATTGCACTGAGTTTATGCAAAGAGGTTCTGAAAAGTTTTTGGTGTAACCAAGAAAGAATTTCAAAATAAATTCTGCTTAGTCAGATTTGGAATTGGGCCAAGAACTTATTTTTTTTAAATTCTTACAGATCAGTATGAATTATTTTAGCAATTTGATTTTAAGCTTTAGCTTATGTAATAAAATGATTTTTCTGAAAAAAAAAAATAAAACCACTTTGATCTTTTTGTTCCAAACTTAATACTTACAATGACATCAGCATTTGAGTCAAACATTTCTCTGGAAATGATCTTGCCTAACCGTCTGCACTCAGATGAACATTTGTTTTAGTTTAACCACATTGCTTACCAATGTTTCAGTTGAAAATGCTGTCATCTGACAAAAATGAATAGCACATTAAGCAGCTATAAAATTTAACAATGTTTCATTAAGGGTGTTTTGTTCATTGTTATCCACATACTTGTAAATAGTTTGGTATAAAGTAAATTTGTGTAGAAGAATCTTCATTGAGAATGAAAGGACTGACAAACATTGAACTATCCTCAAATTAAATGAAACTTAATATTTAGTTTTTAGTCACGGTAGTATTAGCCGTTTCTTTATAAGGAAACATTAAACCAAAAGTAGTATTGGCTGCTTAGTTAAATTTATAAAATGCTTCTACTAAAACAATTTTTTGTGACAGAGAGAGAGAGTCTGGGAAACACAAACACACACATACGTATATTTTTTTAGTGAAATTGGAGTAGATTTGAATAGTGAAATTAAATCAGAGCATTTTGATTACTGATGGGGAAATCTGATCTAGAGCAGAAGTTGTACCCATTGAATCTGGGTCATCAGTAGACAATGGAAATGGTCAAAATAAATTTTATCGATTAAAAATTGAAATAGAGCCGAGTAAGCTAGAAGGAACTTTGGAATTCACATGATTTTGGTTGAAGCAGCCAGAACCCCGTGATAATCGCGTGTGAAGTAGTAGGGCCGAGGGTCAGTTATAACCAGTCGGGTTTATCTATATAAACGGGTAGTTATGCGGAAAAAGACAGACGGGAGAAAATTCTTGAAGAGAGAAGAGAGAATTGGTCCGGGCAAGCGTTGGGAGACGGAACGCTACTATAACTTTAAGCCCCGCACAGAAATATTTATCCCTCCATCGCAAGAGTCGTATATCGTTCATGTGTTTTGTTTCTTTTTCCTCCTCCTTTTGCTTCCTTCTCTTTTCCTCCTTATGTCCCTTTCAGACCAATATAGTCCGAAGACTAGAGTCCTTTCTGGTCTCAACGATTTAACAAGATAATCACATGCACTCTCTCTCTCTCTGTGTGTCTAGAATCTAGTGTATGAGTTTTTTTTTTTTCTGTAACCCGTTTCTCTTCGCTTCTATTCTTTTCTGCTTTAAGACATTACCAATTCAACCATTGAATCGATGTTTGTTCGGCTTTCTGCAGGTATTAATTTTTTTTTTTTGCTGCATTCTAAATTTCTTAGTGCAAACTCCCCCAGCCGTGTCTACATCTTCAGTCGACCGTGAATGGACGGACATAATTTCTGTTTTCTGGATCAAACAAATCACAATGTGGGCAGGGAGCAGGATTAAACCAGCAGACCGGTCGAATAATCTACGGATGCTCAGGGAACCTATGGTTTGGACCGAGTAGACACCTCAACCCTGAGAGTAAGACGCCGGAGGTTGAGGGTCCGGGGCGAAAGTGTTAGACTGGTGTCTGTGATAAGGATAGACCCGTGGGAATTACACGGCCGTCTGAAGGGGGGGGGGTGCATTTGTTTTGTCCAGTCGGACCGAGTAAGACCAGAAAGGACTCTAGTGTTCGGACTATATTGGTCTTTTTAGACATAAGGAGGAAAAGAGAAGGAAGCAAAAGGAGGAGGAAAAAGAAACAAAACACAGAGCCTCAGGTAAGTCACATTTTGGTTTCCTTTGTTCGCTCATTGCACTTAGATCTACCAGTAATATTGTTGATCTTGTTTTGACTTTGTACGCAGTTGAAGCGCCACTACCGTGTTAAGTATTTTTCTTTTCGTTCTGTCGTTGGATTCTCTTCTCGTGGGAAAGTGGTAGTTGACAAGACGCTAGGATGCGTAGCAGGATCAGACGCCACAGATGATCTTGGGGACGTGGGAGTTCCCGAAATATCGATGGGTTTCAGGAGGCTGATAGGTAGCATGAAGCTACTTACCTATAAAGGAAACCTTGCGGACTTGCACGAATGGATTCTGTCCATTCAGAAGAAGCAGGTGATCTATAGCCTCTCGGACCAAGAAATGGTGTTCCTAGCTTACGACGCTGCACCGGGGCAGGTGTCCAAGTTCATAGGGGTGAGTACAAAGAAAACCCGGCCCTGACGTGGGCCGAGCTTAAATCCGGTCTGGTGCGGCAATACGCAAGTGAGCGTACGGCCAGGAAATTATTCCGGCTACAGCAACAAGAAGAAGAGACTAATGAGGAACTGGGGGAAAGAATCGCGGGACTAGCGGCGTTAGCTTTTCCGGAGTTGGCGACTGGGGACAGTGGTCCTATTCAGGCCTAGTTGGCCGATGTGTATGTGGACGCGCTGAGTGACAGGGACCTGAGGGGCGTCGTTCTGAAGGGGGGACAGGTCAGTCTGGCCGTAGCCATAGAGGCGGCTCGGACCAGCGAACGACTCTGGGATAGAATAAGAGGAGGTGTAGGTAGGAACCTCCGGGGTGGGGGCAAGGTATGAAAAGGAAGGACCGGGAGCAGATCCAGATACGGGACCCGAAAGAAGTGGAAGAGGACTGGAAAGCTGAGGCAGTTACCAATAGGAGAGCCTGGGATCTGCATTATAGGTTTCACAATCCCACGCCCGGCTGGTGTGTTGGACTTGCAAGTATGGTGGACATCGGGCCCGCGACTCTCCGACAAACTATGGAGGCGACCCAAGGTCTTTGGGACCAGACTGCACGACTTGTGGCGAGTTCAGGCACAAGGTTCGGTGGTATACGGCAGAGGGAGAGCGTAAACTGGGGATAAAGCGAGTTAATACGCTGGTGCCCCTAACCGAGAAGGAAAAAGGTCCGGGAAACACCGATGGGTCACCCGTGAAAAAGTAAGAGGCAGGGTGACTCCAGTGCAAGTAAGACCTCTGAGATGCTGGACATGTAGTGTAGTCGGGCACTTTTGGTGCTGTGGAGGAGCGGGTCACCTGAGACGAACCTGTCCTTGCAGGAGAAAGATGGACCACACCGAACGGAACAACCCTAACTCGAATGGAGGAGAGAAATGGGTTGCTAGTCCGAGCTCTACCCCACCCAGGAGGACCCCTAGGCAGTAATTGGACCCCCTAGAAAAAGGTGAACTCCTGTCACCGACTTCCACGTTTCGGTTGTCGAGAAAGCGGGAGGATGGGAGAGAACATAAGAGAAAGAGAAAGGCACAGGTATACCGTTTGTTGAAGGAAGGGTCAGACTTCACCTGTAATGTGTTGCTAGGAGATAAGAAGGTGAAGGCCCTTGTCAATACTGGAGCTTCAGTGTCACTGGTTAGCTCCAAGGTTTTTAGACAGTTGGGACTGAAAACGAAGCTTAGTCCCGTCGATCTACTAATAAGTCAGGTTGATAGTAGCAGGATGAGGATAGAGGGTATGACGTGGCTACCTTTCCAGTTGGCAAGAACCAGAGGTAAACTTAAGGTTTATGTGGCACCTGACTTGTGTGGTGAGCTAATTTTGGGGAGTGATTGGTTTAGGCAGAATAAGGCACAGATCAGTTTTGACCCCGCCACCCTAACATTGGACAGGGTAGGGATACTGTTGGGAGAGGATAATTATGAACAATTGCCAGTAGTAGCCCAGACAGATATAAAGCTTCCCCCTAGGACTACTTATTTGAGGAGGGCAAGATTATAACAGAAGGAGTGCTGAACAGTGACCTGTACCAAGTGGCCCCTACTGATAGGTATGAGAATAGTGAAGGGGAAATAACCGTGTGTGATTCGTTGGTGAAGAGGTCAGGGACCGTTCCCTTACTGTTAACCAATACTGCCAATAAAACTATTAAAATAAAGCAGGGAGAGGAGCTGGCACAGGTGTGCCCAGTGAGAGAAGTCGAACAGGTGGGAGTATGGAATGAGAATAGGCCTGGGAATAAGACAGGTAGCGATGAAATAAGGGATGAAGATATAACAGCTCCTGAGCGTTATAGGAGGAAATTGAGGGGGTTGCTGAACAGTAATCGGGAGGTAACAGCCATTGCGGATAAGGAACTGGGACAAATGGTGACAGTTGAAATGAAGATAAACACGGGTAATCACCAACCTATTAAGTTAAGACCGTATAGGACCCCAATCCACAAAAGAAAATTAGTAGATGACGCAGTGAATGAAATGATGGAATCAGGGATAATCGAAAGATCCAAATCTCCCTGGAGTTTTCCAATAGTGATTGTTGAAAAGAAGGATGGAGAGCACAGGTTTTATGTGGATTTTCGTCAATTAAATGCCATTACGAAACCACTGGCAGTGGCCCTCCCCTTGATTGATGATATTCTAGCTCTTTTAGGAGAGTCTAAATGTTTTTCCACCTTGGATTTGAGGTCGGGATATTGGCAGGTAGCACTTAGCAAAAAGGATCAGGAAAAGACCAATTTACCTGCCACATGAGTCTCTTCAATTTTAGAGTTATGCCGTTTGGGTTAGCGAACGCCCCGGGTGTATTTAGTCAGTTAATGTCCATCGTACTGAATGGCACTGAGGCATTTGCCATGGCGTATCTAAATGACATCATGGCGTTTTCAAAATCACCGGAGGAGCATTTTGAACATCTGCAGAAGGTGTTCGATAGGTTAAGAGAACATGGATTAAAGTTAAAATTATCAAAGTTTCAGCTTATGAAAGAAGAGGCGAAGTATTTAGGGTTTATCATAAACAAAGAAGGAATAAAAATGGATTAAGACAAAGTAGAGGTTTTAAGAGCCATGTCCGTGCCGAAGACCGTAAGAGAGATTAGGGGATTTATTGGAGCCATCGGATATTATCGGAGGTTCATACTAGCATTTAGTTGGCTAGCAGGCCCTCTAATAGCTCTAAGAAGCATGCTAAGTTTAAATGGACCAAGCGTTCGCGACTCTAAAGGACCCCTGTTAGCGTACCCAGACCTGTGTAAGCCCATAGTGCTGTACACCGGTGCTAACGATAAGTGCATCGGGGCAATTCTTACACAACCATGTCCCAATAAGGATGGACCAGTACCGGGTGTGGCTGAGGAAGTGCCGATCTATTTTCTGTCTCATCGGCTCTCCGAGACTCAGCAAAGGTGGTAAGTAATAGAAAAAGAGGCGTTCGCCATTCTGTATGCTGTGCAGAAATTAGATTATTATTTGAGTGGGACTGTGTTTACCATTAAAACAGACCACAAACCCCCTCAAATATTTGTTAGAGGCGGAGTGGACGAATAAGAAGATACAACAGTGGGCATTGAAGTTAAGTGGGTATAACTGCAGAATAGAATATTTAGCAGGGAAGGATAATACCTGTGCTGACCTGTAATCGAGGATTCCGAGGCAATTAGAGACCGAATCTGTCAGGTTGGAGCCAGGTGCGGATGATGAAGCCTTCCAAATTAATGTGATCAATTCACAGGCGTTGAAGGAGAGACTTGGTTGGGAAACGAGTGAAACGGAGATTGTTTCCGACCCCCACTGGAGAGATATTATTAGGCAAAACCAAGAGGATAGCGAGATAGCAACTATCAGGTCCAGGGTAGAGGCAAGGGCGTACCTCCAAATATATGGTGCATGATGGAGTGTTGTATTACCTTTCAGGGAGAGGTGAGGAAGTAAGTTTAAAAATGGTCATACCTGAGAAGTTGAGAGCTGAAATTCTAGACCAGTGCCATAGGAGGTTAGGACACCTGGGAATTGATAAGACGTATGGATTAATGAGAAATTACTACTGGCCTAAGTTGTTTAATGATGTTGTGAACCATGTAAAAAAAATGTGTAACATGTCAAGTACAGAGTCGAAGGAGTAGGGTTGCCCCAGTATTAGAAATGGATGTTCCGAATTATCCATTTCAGAAAGTAAGCATGGATATTTCCAGTCCCTATGGAGGAACACACAATGTAATCTTTACATTTGTGGACTGGCTGACGAATTGGCCTGAGGCATTTACCATACAGGAAAAGAAGGCACGAACGGTGTCAGATATAATAATGAATGAAATATTCCCTAGGTATGGGGCTCCTGAACAGTTGGTTACCGATAATGGATCAGAGAATGTGAATCAGATTATGAGAGAGACGTTGGGAGAATTAAACATACAGCACATAACCACCTCTCCATATCACCCCCAAAGTAACGCTAAGGTAGAGAGGTTTCATAAGACCTTCGCTGATGTGTTAGCTAAACTAACAGAGGATAATAGGGAAAATTGGGATTTATTCGTAACCCAAGTGTTAGCAGCTGTGAGATTCTCGATGAACGAGATGACAAAATTTTCCTCTTATTACTTGATACATGGCAGGGATGTAGTTTTACCTATAGACAATCTGTTACAACCTAGGAGGAAGTATTTAGGAGAGGATCATCACCAAATAGTTTTAGAACAACAGCATAGAATGTTTACACAGGTGAGGAGAGGATTCAAAGAGCCCAGAAAAGGTGAAACAATAGGGTAAATAAAAATAGAGAAGTTTCCTTCCAGATAGGTGATTATTATTATAAAATACACCTGAGAGAAGGTAAATTGGACCAGAGATGGAGTCCATACTATAGGATCATGTAGCAGACGGGTTCGGTTTCCTTTGTGATCTGGGGTCAATTGACTGGACAGGTAAAGAGAGTACATGCGATTGATATAAAGCTAGCTGAAATAGGAAAATGGAAAGGAGCCGAAACAAAAACTCAACAGAAAAGGCTGAGGAAAACTATGTTGGTAGAACCTGAAGAGTTAGAGACTGAGAGTGAAAGATAGGAGTGGTGGCTAGGTAGAGACGGAATTTGTTACCCTAAACCTAGCCAGGACAGTGTTTATGCTATTAACAAAAGGAGGAGCAGAAAAATGCAAGAATGATGCCTTAGGTATCTGTAGGTCTGTAAGAGATCATTGTCAGGTAGAGTAATGTTACCTAAAGCAGCCAGTGTCTCTGACGGAATTTGGGCGGTGGCCTCACAAGAGATCGAATTATCTAAGGTGTGTGAAGGGAAGCATGCCACTACGATAAGAGTTATTCCCCCTTTGTTTTTTTGTAGAGCTACTCATCTATCTCTTTACCTCCCTACTACCAAGCAGAAGAGAAGTTTGAAGAGAATGAGGCTTTGTTAGAGCTGGTAGGAACGAATACCAGTGGATGGACGGGATTGTGGGAACCCATTGTAAGAGAGATTCCTAAGATGTCGCTAGAAAAGATGCCAGCATTGTTAAAGCCAATCAATAAGATTGATCTTGGACGGTTGAAGTCGGAGTTAGGTAGGATAGGTACACCGAATTCGGGCTGGAGTCGTGGCCTTGCTGGTTTGGTGGTGGTTGAAGAGGCGTGCAGTGTTGTCGACCGGGCAGAATAAACTGGCACGGGAGTGCATTGAGTGAAGGAGGGATTCCAGTTAGTGCACTTTACCAAGGTAGGTCCGACCCGAGTGCATTGGGGCCCCTAACTGATATTGAAGAAGAGTCCAAGATTGTCGTGGAAGGACCTGAACCAACAAACGATTCGCCAAAATCAGAGGAACAGATTAACGAAATAAATCGATTTTTTTATTTTTTATTTTTAGTAATGAGACTGGTAATTGGTAACGAGTGTTGTGAACTTCAAAAAAAAAAAAAAAAGGAAAGAACCCTCAAATTAGTGAACTATGTGATCACCAAAACAGTGAAATTTAACCGGAAGTTGCATGTACATATGTATTGTAAGGACAATGAGAACGGGCATAATGAGCACAAAGAAAAACTGAGGACTCTACCTTTGCATGTTGGAAGAGACGTATGTTTAAGTAGCCCCCTAGTAAGAAGCATGTTGGACTGGGTTTTCTCGTATTTTGTTGCTATGAAAGCTTGTGTGTCATTTACTAATAAATGACAGATGGGTAGGGGAGGAAATGTGACAGAGAGAGAAAGTCTGGGAAATATAAACGTGATAATCGCGTGTGAAGTAGTAGGGTTTATCTATATAAATGCGTAGTTATGCTGAAAAAGACAGACGAGAGAAAATTCTTGAAGAGAGAATTGGCCCGGGCGAGTGTTGGGAGGAGGAATGCCACTATAACTTTAAGCCCCACACAGAAATCTTTATCCCTCCATCGCAAGAGTCATATATCGTTCTGAGACAATTTAACAAGATAATCACATGCACACTATCTCTCTGTCTATCTAGAATCTAATGCATGAGTTTTTTTTTTTTTTTTACTTTTCTTTTCTGTAACCCGTTACTCTTCTCTACTATTCTTTTCTGCTTTAAGACATTATCAATTCAACCATTGAATCGATGTTTGTCTGGCTTTCTGCAGATATTTTTTTTTTTTTTTTGCTGCATTCTAAATTTCTTAGCGCAGACTCCCCAGCCGTGTCTACATCTTCAGTCAACTGTGAATGGACGGACATCATTTTTGTTTTCTGGATCAAACAAATCACAATGTGGGCAGGGAGCAGGATTAAACCAGCAGACCGGTCGAATAATCTACGGATGCTCAGGGAACCTATGGCCTATGACACCTCAAGCCTGAGAGTAAGACGCCAGAGGTTGAGGGTCCGGGGCAAAAGTGTTAGATTTTCAGGAAATAGCTTTCAAGTCCAATGTTATTCTATCTAGTATTGATTGGGGAGAGGGGGGGTCTTCCTTTTTTGTCTTTTGTTTGTAGTTGTGTAGAATGCCATCATCCCCTCTTCCACTTGCATGAAGTATCCATTTTAGTTGTTGCTCCTGCTGGAGAACCAGTGATGTTTCTGTTATCTGGTACAGTTCTTGTAGTGCCAGTTCACGAGGTTCAAAAAGGGATTGTCCTTGCTAAGGTCGAGAGGTTTCATTTGCTCAAAATCATTTTTAAGTATTGATCTGAGAAAACAGTTGGCAGTTTAAATATTTCTGAAAGTTTGGCACTATGTATGACATCCATATGAAGGTCTTTGTTCGATAAAAACTTGTTTTTAAATAATCTTATGTTAATATTTTGGTTTTGTAGCAATTTACAGTATTGGACAAAACTACCCAATGTCCTTATCTCCTATACTAAATTTGCTATAACTGATCCATATATCAAGGCATTTCAAGTGTTTAGTATTTACTAATTCTACATTCTGAATTTTTATTATGAAATCAGGGTAGATGCCATCACTGTTTTCATGCCAATTCCAGATGATAGTTTCTACTTCGGAAAGGTCTATTTCTTGAAATCATAGGTAGAGAATGTTGATGCTTTGTTCAACATCACTCTTATGAATATCAATATCATAGCATTATCAGTATATTGGCCTTGAGAGAGAGAAAGCAAGAATGCTTTTTTTTTCTTTTTTTTAAGCAGATTCATTTGGGATGTGGTATAGAATGATCAGTGCCCAACTCTTTACACACACAGATATATATATATATATATATATATATATATATATATATATATATATATATATATATATATATATATATAAAGAGAGCATAGTCTAGGAATAAATGAATTGGGATTTCATTTCCTCCTTGTCATAATCCTGATGAAGTTTGAAATGTCTCAATATTGGGGTCCTGAAACACATACAACTTTGTAGACCAATATAGTTCCTTTATCAAATCTAGACATTCAGTGGAGCCATAGCCTGAAAGCTTTAGTGTACTATTAGAGTACACTAAAGCTTTCAAATACAAGAAACTTATTTTCATAATTTGATTGCTTGGTTGATGGTGAGTAGAAGCCTATTGTATAAACAACTAAATTGAATATACAGCATCTACTAAAAGCAAAAAATTATATTTTTTTTGTCTAACAGATAAAGACAGAATTGCCAGCAGTTAATGTTACAATCAAACTTCTCCTGTTAAGAAAATGTGGTCTCTGCTTATTTAATTCAAATGCCACCAAAATTAGTTTACATGATTAAATTAAGCATTAAAATGGCATTAATTTTCCCAGGTGAAATTTTAGCTGTAGATATTTTTTTTTTTTTACATATACCCACTGGAACAGTACCTATTAGGATTCCTTGAAACCCCAAATAAAAATTCCTAATATTTTCCTCTTTCAGCCTAAAAAAATGTTGAATTATTCTCACTGTTGTTCTTAGAATGTGTGAAAACCATCTTTGTTGCTGGCACTGCTTTTAGTCCAAGAGCAGTAGCAACAGTACTTTGCACATGCAAATGACAAACATAAGGACATAGAATGAATTTCAACAAGGTGATATTTTTGTTTTTATATAGTAACAAGAGAAAATACACATGTATGCATGTAAAAGAAAGACATTACAAATTTGGAATTATTTGAGTGACACACATGCACATGTGTAAGCTTAGTCATTTAGGGGAAAGATATCCCAATGTTCCAATGGAACTACTTCTACTATATGCTAGAAGAACAAGAGAATGAAGACAGAAATTGTTCCCTTTTATTTTTTTTTAAATAGGTGTTTAACAGTGCCCTCTGAATTCTTGTTGATACCCACACTCTTAAACCTGGAAAATTACATTCCCAGTAGAGATTTTATGGTAGTGGGTATGAAAATAAAATCAACAGAATAGCAATTAGTCTTGTTAAGAAAAACTCCCCAATATGACATGAGAATAGAAATGAAATAATTTATACTGTGACAATAAGTGTTACTCTCTTCCATCCAATCAATCTTTCTTAATTTACAATTTTTTTCTTCTCACTCTTATAGATAGAGGGGGACTTCCACTCATGAATATTAATTAATAAAACTTTCAACTAGGAGGTGTCAATAAAAGCAAATGGTACAAAATATCTAGATACAAATTGGATATTTTTTGGGACATTACAATGTATTTGATACAACATAATTAAATAGTTTATATAGAATTTGCAATGGACTATAAATACAAACATTTTTTTTTTATAGAGAAAATAACTCAACTATTTTTGTGTTTTTTCAAGCAACATTTTATTGAATATCAATTACACTGATGTGTTTTTTGAGTCCAGTGTAGCTGGATAAAAAGGCTTACTTCAGGAAAACATTTTATTCAGCATATGTTTTTCTAATCACTTTATCCTATGACATGAATGAATGTTTGTTTTGAGAATTTCAGCTGGTACATCTCATAATGAATTCCAAAAAATATGAGAAACTGAGTGTTCATAACACTCCCTATCTCTTCAGTAAAAAGGTTAAGCATCTTTAGAAAAAACTTATGGACCTCTCCACCATTTTTTTTTTTGCAAATGGAAACAATGAACTTCAGTGTAATTCAAATAACTAACTTTACACAAAGAAATTATTAGAAGTTGATTATAATGATTAAAATCAACAGACAAGTTATCACTTGTCCCTTGAATTTGTTCAAATAAGATTTTGTGTAACATTTTCATTGTATAAGAGCCAATAAAATCTTATTGCTTAACCAACCATAGCTTCAAAGATTTTATTTCGCCTGCATTCATCAGTGATATAAGTTCCATGAAGGGGGAGGCACTATGCAAAAAAAAAAAAAAAAAAAACTTCATGACTATTGTAAACAATGGTTTTTTTTCACATCTCAATAGTCCACTAATCCACGATCTCTAGAATGAGAGCGTGACCTTGACCTTGACCATCGCGGTGACCATGAACGAGACCTAAAACAAAAAACCTCAAATAGAAAAGCAATATACAGAGTGAAAAAAAAAAACCCCAAAAATACACATTACAATTATGCTTAAAAGAGAAGAGCACTCAATATTAAAGTAGACACTGAGTCTGTTTCATGCAATCTTCAGGCCATGTGTGTTGTGCTTTGGCTCGACTATATATTATGCTGGTCAATGGTGCATTATAAGTAGCAAGGTCTATTTGTATTATCCTACTGGCTATTGGGTAGGTGTTAATGGTTACATTTCAAATTATTCTAGATGTTATGCAGTAGGAATAATTGTTCCAAATGTGGTTGTTTGTGGCTGTTTTAAAGTGTTGGTTGTTAACTTTTTTACCCATTTATTACTGATTACTTATTTGTTGTTAATTAATATTATTACATTTACTTGTGTTTATGTGTTCATTCGTAGTTTATTATTTATCTAATATGTTCACTTATAAAATTGATTTAGTTATTTTTTTTCAGGAGCTGGCTATCTTATTGGTTTCGTTTAAAGTATTGGCATTGTCCATGTTACATTATCTGCTTTGCTTTTGTTTGATTTGTGCATTTGGTTATTTTTCTGTTGTTTTCTCTTATTAGCTGTGTAATTCTCAATGCAAGTGTAGCTGATTTTTATTTTATTTCTGTTGAATATCTTATGGAGGTTATCTGACAATTTTTCTAATGAAGTAAATAAAGATTATGAAACAGTCTTAAAAGATAGCAGATTTGTTTTGGCAACACACACACACACACACAGGACACACACAAAAAAAAAAAACAGAAAAATATTCATTAAACTCATACACAAACAATCCCCACAATATAATTAATAGAAACATGGTAAAAATCAGCTACAGTTGAATCAAGAACATGACACAAATCATAAAAAAGTACAACAAAAAAATCCATCAAACCACCCACAGATATTAAACCCAACTATAACTGCAGAGCAAAGAATGAATTTCTCTTAAATGGCAATTGCTTGCAAAACAATATACCAAGAAACTGTAAAATCAGCAGATAATAAAGAAAAATTATAGATAAGAGTAACTGAAGGACCCTGGAAATAGAGAAACCAAGCCCACAAAACAATTAAAACCAAATTACACTAAAAGTATAATGGAAAATAAGGAAAACAGCATGAGTCTACAACAATAAATCCCAAAACTGTAAACTGTCTGGGGAATATAGCTATAATCACCTTCCCAAATCAACACAAATTACTAATCTCAAAATTCAAACATGAAAACAAATTTTTACTATGTTACTTAAAAATCAAAAACTAAAAATGAATATCTTGTAAAATACCAGTATGAAAAATGCAAATATATGGACTATATACAATGAAGATAATGTACATTTTTAACTTTAGACAAAGCCAACAGTTTAAGCTAAACAAATAATCAATACCTAAAAATGAAATAAAAAATTTAAATAAAATAATAAATTAACAAATTGTGAATACACACAAACTCATGTAATAATAATAAACAAATAATAAATAATGAGTAAAAAGTTAATACTTTGAAACAGTTACAAATAACTGCATTTAGAACAATTATTCCTACTCAACAGTCTCTAGAATTTGAAACATAACCATTACCACCTACCCAACAGCAATAGATCTTGCTACTCATAATGCACCATTGACCAGCCTTTATAAGTAGCTGAGACAAAACAATACACATGGCCTGAAGATTGCATTCAAACATGAAATAGACCATCATTGTTCATGTTGACATCAGTGTTCACTTTTATATTTATATACATACTATCCCCGATATTGAGTACCTTTGTTCATAAATATAGTGTACCTTAAAACAATCCTTTTATCATTATATATCATTAACATTTTACAAAATTAAAAAAAAAAAAAAAAATTTCAAAAGGTAAAATGTTTGAAGTGTCAATAATTACTTTTTGAAGGGCAAAATTAAAGCACAAACATAATTTGTTGAGGTTTACAAGCTGCTATTCAAATTCTTGTAGATTCTAATGTTATAATTTACTCACCGTCTTGAGTGGTATTGTGGTGATCGAGAATGGCTCCAGTTGTCACTGTCAGATGAATTGCTATACTTCTGAGAGTACCGATCACGTTCCATTTCTTCCAATTCACGGTGTCGTCTTTCTCTTTCACGGCGACGCATTTCCATAACCCTGGAGCGTAGTTCATCTTCACGGTCCTGTTTCATTCAAAAATTAAAATATTTTATAATGGCATTTAACAGAATCTACTTAGAACTTCAAAACACTTCTGTGTAGTATTTAGAAACTTGATCATTTTAATCAGAATTTATAAATACTATATGCTGTTTCTTTTCAGTTGATATTGGAATTCTATTCTGGTTTATGCATATTTGTAGGATGTGTATAATAGTATCCAAAACAAAAAAATAAGATAACTCATTATCTTCAAAGTGGAAAAGCCATAAACAATACATTTCACTAAGAGCATCTACCCCCTATGGCTTCTTCAGGTTAGAATAAAAGAAAGACAAAAGTGTATGCAAGGAAAAATGTGTTGGGAACTCCGAGGCTAATTGGAGACGATAAATCAAATTATTTTATCACATCTGTTGACCTGATACTAAGTGGCATGGAAATTGGAATTGGCAACCCTAGTTCAAGCTTCAGTCAAGTCTATTTCATTCACTTTCATACTAATGCCTTTGGGAAGGGCACAACCATCTCTTCTCCCATATATATATATATATATATATATATATATAGCTGGAGCTATATGTTAACTAGTAGAGTGGGTGGCAACCAATTTAAGAGAAGTAAAATGAATTCCAAATTAGGCAATACAAAATTTCTCAACTATTTTTCCGAAGGAAGCATGAGAATTCACAAATAATAAAGGAATTTGTGAAGAGCCATCATTGCCTACATCCTGAAGGGATATAGCATTAAAAGAAAAAAAAAAAAAGAAAAAAAAAAAGAAAAAAGAAAGAATAGTTTTACTTTCATTCACAATATATGTGAACAGAATTAAAAAGATAATTTACAATTTCACAACTGTGCAAATAGTTTATATCATTTAATAATGTGAACTAGGAAAAAAAAAGAAGTCATAAAACTAAGACTGAATAATTATAGACAGAGGTTAGCAATGTTTAAGTGATGGCTTAATTTACATAAACAGATGATGTTACAAAATCAAAAGGACAAGCAATAGAGAGAGACATTCCAAGTCCCTTGTAAAATAGTACTAAAATCAAGCTTTATTCAGGATCCATTCTTTATTTTATAACTATGCATGTAAGCACAGGAAAAAGGTTTTAGAATTTAGAAAAAGGTTTTAAAAAAGTACAATTCCAAAACGATATTTAAAAAAACCCAAACAAAAATGTTCTTGTATATTTCTTCTTTCTGAATGTCCTTTGTTGGATGTAGGCCTTCTCCAGAACCAGCCATCTTTGCTGTTCATGGGGAGGAATGGGCTATTACCCTACCATATTGATCCAATGTATGTTGGTAAGAGTGGATGTGACGTACTTGGGCAATCTATGCTTCTTTTCAATACGTGATTGACTTGGCAGAAGAATTTCGACTGTAGGTTGTCATTACCTTCTATGGTAGACTGGTTGCCAACCAAGACCCAGTCAGTCCTGCAATTTAACCCATAGTTGAGGGGAGAAAAGATGAATTCATACCTTTCTCAAGAGTATTTGTGCATTAAGTGCATGTAATGAACTTGAGTGGAATTCAAACTCTGCTCTGATTTATCATTCCAAGATGTTATCCATTTCACTAACTGCCTATCCAAGCTTATAGCACCTGGTATTTCCAAGTGGTCATCAGTCTAAGTACTGATCAGGCTCAATGTTGCTTAACTTCAGTGACCGAATGAAAAACAGTGTTCAAACATGCTATGGGCATAACCTTTAACTTAATATAAATTGAATAGAGATATATCTCCAAAATATGACTATAATCTCACACCAGCTAACCCCTCCAACACATGCACATAAATTTCATTGAGGATAAAAAAAAAAAATAGCCTTACTTGTCTTTCTTGTTCAACTCGTTCCAATTTCTGAAGTTCAGCCTTTTTGTCTGCTTTGTCTGTAGTAGAAAAAAAATTTAAATTAACTACAAAATTATGCAGGAAAACTCTTTTTTCAGTAAAATTTCCTAAAACATATTTAAGTTTGATTTAATTTATTTTATGGCATATCAACCTCAGTGGGTTATTTTAATGCTGACAAGATTTTTATAGCTGGTAATAATTTTTTCAAAAATGTATTGCGGCTAATATTTTTCCTTCAAAAATGTATTTTTGGTATTAAAACAAATTTTTAACATTTTCATTGTGCTTTGACCCCAGTTTTGGTGTTTACTATTTGCCCATAACGGGGATCCTAACAGGTTTTTTTTTGTTTTGCTTTTTAAATGTACTGCTGGTAAGGTAATATTTTCTTTTTTTTTTTTTTTCCAAAAATGTATTACTAGTAATAATTTTTCTTTCAAAAATTCATTACTAGTAATAATTTTTTTTGCAAAAAAGTATTACTGGTATTAAAACTTATTTTTACACTTTCATAGTGTTTTGACCCCAGTTTGGTGGAGGGGAGGTCAGCTATGCCCATAGCTGAGGGTGCTCTGCAAAACCTCCTGATCAGAGACCTTACTGTTTGATGTATTTTATAGTCATACCCAGGATGCTTACAGGCCTTGCTTTATGGTAAGATATGTACAAAATTTTGTAGTGGACTTTTGACTTTGGCCTGGGCTACAAGGGTTTTACTGAGCTGGACCAAATTCAAAATGGCAAATTTTGGTATAATGCCACTATGCTAACATTTTCCTATCTGGTCAAGTTGTATATCTTTAGAAAGCTCTTTGAATGCTGATTAATATTCATATAACAACTATGATCATAAAATCAACAGAAATTATGTTAATTGTGGTTGAATGTTGACCAATTTGTTGGAAAATAAACAATCTTATTTTTGGTTTTGTTTATGTTTTTATTATACAAATAAATTTTTATATGAAAAATGACATAAAATAATTATTTTAAGTGTCATGATTAATAATAACCTGAAAATACGCATCAAATGATGTCAATATTTAAATCTTTGTTGACATTAGACGTAGCACACTAAATACGCAAAACAGTCAATTTTTTAGTTTTTACTTTTATATATCTCCCTAAATGTAAATATAATATGATATAAACTAAGAAGGGATAAATCCAGTCAATGGAATTCCACTGAATCATAGAATTTAAACTTTAATGGTCTCCTGGCTTGGTTAGGTTAATGTTTCTAAAATGAAAAAATTTTGTGTTTGGAGACAATTATTAATGGAATGTAAAAGAGTACCACAGTATTTTATGAATTTTATCAGAAAGTCCATTTCAAAAAATACTGTGGTACTTTTTTATATTCCATGAATACAGTTTTATAGTGGGTATGTGCATGTTCTAATGTAACACTGCATTTTATATATATATATATATATATATAAATAAACAGTTACAAGAAAACTCATTGTTCCTACAACTGCATGATTCTGTCTAGTATCTAAACCACGATTGCTTTAACTCATTTTAACTTTTTGATAAGTTCATTATATACTGGTCATAAAAGTAATAAAAATCATTAAGTCAGTGTGAAAAAAATTCACCTCAACATGACTAATCTGGCACCTAATAAGCCTGGTCCAAGTCTCTTACCATCTAAACTGCAAAGATATGGTGGCTTTTCATAGTAGCTGGGATTCTTTACCAATACAGGAAAACCAAAAAAGTTGTGGCAAGTAATTTCTAATCTCATATCCAATTTTTTAAATTATGCTGGTGTAAATGATACATTATTATTATTATTATTATTATTATTATTAAATACCTCTTGATAATGCTGTGAGCAAACATCTCAAGCATCAATTAGAATAAATAGTTGTTGAGTTTAGCATGTCTTGTGTCGTCTTTGTGTTGCTTCAACTTTTCAGCAGCCAGTCTCATATAATTTATACTTCCACCCAAAGCCCAGTGGAACAGTATCAAAGAAAATTAAACTAATTTCGATAAAATTTCTCATCAAGAAGCCACCAGTGTAGAAAAGCACCAAAGCTCCAATGAAAGTGAAATTATTACATGATTAAAGTTTGCAGCTATTGAAAAATGGTGCCAATAAGTACAAATTTTGACAATAATTCCAAAAAGCTGAAGTATCAGAAAAAATTCAAATAGAATTTGGCACCACAATATACATGGCCCAACAAGCCAAAAAACTTGTAAATGAACAAGGAATCTTAACTTTACCAAATGCACAAAAATGTAAATTCCCACAAGAGACAATTGATGAAATTGTACTGTTTTATAAGAGTGAAGTCAGTAGAGTGATTCCTGGAAAAATGGCTATATGACAGTCTTAAAGAATGGCAGAAGAGTTCAGGAACAAAAATATCTTGCACTCTGTAATCTGAAAGTGGCATACAAATATTCTGAGCTCAGACCAAAAGAATATATTCTAGCAGGTAATGCCGGTACACACTGTGTCTGCATTTGCACAATACATCAAAATATGAATCTGATGATTGTGGTGGCTCATCTTGTTACACTGACTCAAGATGAGCAATATCATTTAACAGATTACCAGCAATGCATAGTTGTTGTTACACTACAATGAAGCAACATCTAATTGCTACTTGGGTGACTGCTCAACTGGTAGCAATCAGACAGAAGATTTTGTTTTATATATAGAAGAAATTCTAAATAAAAATTTAATAAAGGATTATTAAGTGGCTATCAACTGATGGAACCACACTGCAAACTGTATCACAATCTACAGAGGAATTTATTGAAATTTTTCATGCAGGCCTTCAAACCTTGAAGAAGCATGATTTCATTATCAAAGAATAGTAAAGATTTTGTTCTATGAAATGATCTTTGATGGATGATGAAGTCAATTATTTATTTTCACATGATGTTGCACAAGGCTTCCACTAGAATAATGCTCAAGCCACATTACATACATACATAGTCTGTTACTACAGATATGACAAAGAGCGAGAGCATATTAATATTGTAATTATATCAGATTGTCTCAAGTATAACATAGTAGCTGTCCATTTGTTCCAAAGAAAGTTTATAGAAATGTTGGGGGGGGGAGAGAAAAAACACCTTAATTTTAAAATAAAAAAGCCAATATATTTCTCTAATGACACTGCTTCAAAGAAATTTCATCACAGCTAAATTCAAAATATGTAGTTTGGGATGAAAGAGTCAATTTTTCCTAATGTCTTTAAAACAAAACAGTTTAACTTGGGTAGAGAAAATAATAATAAAAAAAGGTTTTCTCTTTCACTTTTCTATTTCTTAACTCAACATTTTTGTTTCTTTTTCTTATTTCTTTCTGATCAACTGAAATTAACAAGTTTTGGTGAAGATCACAGAGAAGATTAAATAGGATAGGGAGGAGAGAATAAATTTTTATTGTCCAGAAGATAGTCAAACACTTAACTAGGTACCTCCACTTTTTCATGGGAAAACAGCATAGCATAATGAAAAAACCACAAACTTAATAAAAATAAAGTATTATCATCAAAATGTTATTATTAAGATGAAAGACCAAAGTATTTTTTAATTTTTGAAATTTTTAATCCTTTTAGTTAAATCTTGTTTTGTTTATGTCATCGAGGTGGCATAATAATAACATCGACTTTTTTGCACTACCCACCCCCTTGAAAAGACAGTGATTTGGAAATTCTTGCAAAAATCAAATAATTGTTTGATTTTGTTATAGGGGAACACACCTATTCTATAGTTAATAGACTCTCCCACCTACAATAAGTAGGAGTAGTAAGAGTAACGTGAGAGTCAGTCGATGTTGGACGACAGTTAGTCGAATACTAAAGTATCAGCGACCACAACTAGGTTACTCTGCGTTATACCAATTATATCAAGTTCCTAATGTTTTGTATGTCGAACCTATTTTAAGACCAACTTAGTACCAATACAAGCCTCCACTGTGAAAATCACTCCACAACAGATTTAATGAAATTTTCAGGACTTATTCACAAATGAATGAAATTATTTTTGAAGTTTTTTTTTACATGTTACCTCCCACTTACTTAATTTCATGAAATTTCGCAAAAAAACTTCATGAATTTTTTTTTTTTTCGTTAAAAGTAGGACTCCTTGGAGAATCTAAATCACCTAATTTTTTTTGAACTTGACTTGCACTATTCTAACTGAAAATCAAATTTGAATTGTAAAAAAAAAAAATGAAAAAAACTATGACATTATTTAATTAGAAAAGCTTTTAATTGTTTTTTGTAAATAAGTTATATTAAGGACATTATTTCTGAAGAAATAAAATTTTTCTGATGAATAATGAATTTTTACAAGAATTTTTTCATTTTTTAAAATTTTTTAATTAAATAATTAAATAGTTTAAAAATCTTTTAAAATTCTATATTTGGGCTACCCAAATAATGTGATATAGTAATTAATGGAAAATGTAAATTTATAAATCCAAAATTGAAAAGATTAATAAACATTTTACACTAAATATTTTAAAATAATTTTAAAAATAAATTTTTATTTTTTTTTTTTTTTTTACTTAATTTGTTTCATAATTTTTAAAAAGGTCTGATTTGAAAGTCTAAACGTGACATTATTTGAAATTGTCAGTTCAGATACACATCGTTAACGTTTTGAGAAATTAATTTAAAAAAAGTTTTTTTTTATCTAAATAATAAAAAAAAGTTTTTTTATTAAATAATTAAAAAATCTTTAAAAAATTAAATAAAAATCAAAAAATTATTAAATAATTTAGAAAAATAATTAAAAAAAAAAAGTTTAAAGAATTAGTTAAAAAAAAAAAAAAAAAAAATTATCTAATTTTATTGCCATTTTATTAAGTTTTGTCCCTTTATTCTAATGAAACCAGCCGTTACTAGATTTCTAATAATTTTCATTGGGGCCATCCGTAAGTATCCATTATCTCCTCTGATCAAAAGATAAAAAAACCAGTATCAATCGTTAATAAATGGTTGTATATTACTTTTTTATTTTAAGTAAGTGATATTTATTTCAAATCAGATTAATTTAACATTAAATTTTCTAATTTTATATAAAATATATATATATATATATATATTATTTAAATATTTTAAAATTGATAAATTTGTTTTGTTTACAAATTTCTTAAAATTAAGAAAATGGCCGGGATTTTTAAGAAAATTTTAAAAATTAAATTTGACATTCCAATGTATATAGTTTCTGACTGAAATACACTACAGAGTATTTTTCTTAATGGAAATAGTAAATTTAATCATTTAGCATTCAATTAAAGCTAAAATGTAATCTTGAAAAATGCTTTTTCATTTTTAAAAATTTATTTTAAACTTTAGGTATCGAAAAAAAAAGTGGAGGTCCCTATTTTATATAGATTGTTAATTTTTAGTTTTTATATTAAATACACAAAATGAGATACAGTTTCTTCATTTGATACTGAAATTTATTTTGGAAAAAAAAAGAAGTTTTATATCTTTTGATTAAATAGAGATACTATGAAAATAGCTGAAGTAGTTTATAATGATATATTTTATTTGAATTTAAATATTTTATTTAGAAAAAAAGAATTTTCAGTTCAAAATTCACAAACATCATTAGGAATTTAATCAAATTGAAATTTGATTAAAATTTCTCCAGGACACAACAGGACATTACAGATATTCTCCAAATTGTAATTTTTTTGAAAAATTTGATATTTGAATCAGTACAATGTTTGAATTGATAGGAAAAAAAATGGGCTGAATTTTTTTTTTCTTTCTCAAATGCAAACAAAACACATTTAAAAAAAAACAAAACAATGGAAGACAATGAAAAATGAATTGTTTAAATAATTTGAATGAAAAAGGTTAATGAAAATTAAAAGCCAAATTAATAACTCCAAAAATAGTTTACATCCAAATATTGCTGTAATATACAAAAATATAAAAAGAGGAGTCTTGTTATTAAGATCTTTTTTTAAAACCAGACAATTATTTCAAACATTTCCCAAATTTCGGTTAAAAGAAAATAACAAGTGTGTTTGGAATTAGATAATGTTATTATTCTTCAAAATAACAATTCTCTTGATTATAAAATTTTTTTTAATGAATAATTTGCAATGTTTCCTTTATAACTTCTGTATTCACCTGATATTGCATTTTTAAGAAAAGTAAAAAAATATTTTCATTCCTATAAAAATTTTCTTAATGTACTAACAAAAATTTGCACATTTTAATAAAAATTTAATTTCTTTGATATTGGTTGAATAAAATGATTTAAAAAATAAAAAAACAATCATTTTTAAAATTCATTTAAAAAATTGTGTTGCTTTTTTACTAGCACAATTATTTGAAAAACTTTTTTGTGAAAAAAAAATTATCCATATTTTAAAAAAATATACTTCTCAAAAATTTTTAAATTTGTTGATTTTCATCTTTGAAAGAAACTATAATATTAGACCAAAATATTAATCCACCTTCCCTTTTTACTTTTCAGTTCACTTGGTTGATGAAAATAAAATAGACCAGTGAAACAATTTGATTTGGAAATCCTTTTGGAACCATGTAGTTATTGTTGGGAAGACAACAGTTTTATGTACTTTTTTTTTTTTTCTTTGGTAGAATATTGGTTTATTGATGTTTGCATAAACGTTGAATTTAGTTACTTTGAACTTTTAAACCAATGTTCTTAAAATTTTGCAAACATTTGTTGTTTACAAAAAAAAATAGATCTGCAATTAAATTGAAAAAGTTTTTCAAGTTTTTTCTTAAAAAACTTTCAACTTTGCTCAAAACTTAAGAAAATTTTTAAAGCTGTTTGTTTCTTGTTAATAGAGAGTACATAATAGTCTTGTTCAGTGAATCTACATTGGCCAATATTTGATAGTTCTTTTTTCTCTCATTTCTTTGAAGCATTCTCAAATGATGACACACACAAAAACAAAACACAAAAACACAAAAAAAATACTGATTGATATGAGGTTTTTTGAGGTCCTCAGATGGAATATTATGAAGATTTGCCAATTGACATTCACACTGCACCAATTGAAAATAACCGGATTATAATGAATCCTTCTTCCTTGTTTATGATTATTTTCAGTTCCTTTGCAAATTTTTTTTTTTTTTTTTTTTTTTTTCATTTGCTTTCACTTCCAGTATCAACTTGCAATGACATGTCCATTTCAGTAGAGGAAATGGTCCCTGAAAGCAGCAAAAAAAAGCAAATTTGATATATTCAACCAACAAAATGATTTAGAAAATGACCCATTATTCCCATCAAAGAATGTAACAAAGTAAATGTAATGTGTTTTGTTTTAAAAAAAAAATGCATTTCCTGGAGACAGTTCCATTAGATTAAATCAAAACTAGTGAAAGTGTGGAACTGGTTTGACGTTGTATTGTTTTTTAAAGTAGAGATTTTCTGCTATTGGAAAAATTATTGAGTCAACTGAAAGGAATTCTTTGTAAATGAATCCACTGAGGCCAAATTTTTGCCAGAGGTTTTTGGAGGCCAGTTCTTTGGTTTTTCAAATAATAACCACAAACAAATAAAGGAAAACCAAATCTGAGTTACAAGGTAGGTTTAATGGTGACGGCATGGTTTTAGTAAGGCTTTCTCTGTGTTAATGTTGAGGTCTGAAAGACAAACCAGCAAAAATAATAATTGTTATTAGGAGAATGGGGAAAAGTTATAGTATGTTAAAAGAAAAGGCTGAGGCCATCGGATTTGGTATTTATATATATTATTATTGGAGGAATCATGTAGAAATTTGAATCAAAAACTAGATTTCTTTCAAAGGTGGTAGGCCAAGCAGAGGAAAGTGGCATCAATAAGATCTGAAATTTGGTGGTTGTAATAAGGTGGTGATGGTACTTGAACCTTGTGTGGTGGCAGTTTAATCCAGGATCATAAAAATAGTAGCATTATTTATAATAACTGGAAAGTCAAGGAAAAAAAATCTATTTCTAATGATAATCTTAGCCTGCTTTTAAGCAATTCTGAAGAAAGTCCCAAGGGGT